TTTTTTTTTTTTTTTTTTTTTTTTTTTTTTTTTTTTTTTTTTTTTTTTTTTTTTTTTTTTTTTTTTTTTTTTTTTTTTTTTTTTTTTTTTTTTTTTTTTTTTTTTTTTTTTTTTATTATTTTTTTTTACTGCTTCAAATAGCCCTCAAGGGCTAATCCCACGCTTTAAGTCCCATCCCCCCTTCGTCCCTACTGAACCAGTCCCAGGCAACCATTGTTTGAGACCATCAAACTCGGGTCGCCTGGCCGGGAATCGAACCCGGGACCTCTTGATCATAGAGCAAGCGCTACAACCACTACATCATAGGAGGCCGACTACAACCACTACACCATAGGAGGCCGACAAAAAAAATAACTTTAAAGAATAACATAGAGGCGGAGATTTTCAGACACCGTAAACGAGATATGAGATTGCGGACTTACGCCGTCGAAATGGGCCGAATTTTAAGCATTAAAAATCGCCAAAAATTAAAACAATAAGATTTTAAGATACACCTGACCTACATCCTCCTGTGAGGTGAGTTATGAAAAGACAGATGGAAGATCCACCCGATCCACCTCTGACGTAAGGGCGTATCTCTATTTATGCGTGGATTACAGTGGCGTGGCGTGCTTTGCGATAAATCGATTGATCGGCCATTTAAACCAATGGAAAAGTATCGATAAACAGGGTGTTCGCAGCGAACACCTTAATAATCGATTGTTTACCACAGCTTCAAATGGGGAAATATCGATAGATCGCAAAGCACGCCACGCCAATGATGGATTAACATGTAAAACTGGGCTCACGTGACACTGAGATACGCTCTTACTCCGGAGGGGCGACGAATTAGTTGGCTGATTGGCATCCCGAAGGAGTAATGCGACAACATGTTTTCGATCTCGCTTGCTTCGCCTTAAATTCGGCGTGCCACGTCATTTATGGATCGTTACTTATGGTCCGCGGTCTTGATAATAATGAATCAAGAACAGATTGTTTTCTTCATTTATTATAAATTGCTATTTCATTGATTCTAGCTTCGCCTTACGGAAACATGCAAATAGAGACAACACAATTTTTCTCATTTTAAAGTACATTACTTCATGAACATTGATCGAAAAGTTCTTTCTTTTCTCACTCTCGACTGGTCAATTCAAGAGGTATTGGTTACAACAGCCATACAAAAAAATAAAAAAACTCTTTTGAAGCCGATAACTTAGATACAAATTTATGAAATTCTGAGTATGCCTGAGTTCTGTACTTTCCTCCCCTTTCTCTCCCCCTCCATCTTTTTTAATTCCCTTTTCTCTGTAGTTTAATTCCATTCTTGTAAATGTCTTCCATTTAGACCTTTCGCTCGACAACGCAACATGGGTGATAGTTGACATCAGATACAGAATATGTATTAGCAGTATGGGAGAATTCAATTCGTTTCTTTCATGCATTTCAGGTCGAAGAGGTTAGAATAAAAACCGTGCTGAAAATTGGAGTCGTAAACCATTACAATGCTCGAGTTATCCCGATCTTCATGTGTGAAGGTGGCAGCTTTGGTCATCACGATGATGTCTCTGATCGCAGGGATTGCAGCCTTGCTTACTCCGAAAGTCTGGGTCGATTGCGGGAAACTCATGGTGCAAGGCTACAACTCTTGCCAAATCAACCACAATGACGAGGAGATCCCGTATGCAGGCCCCGAAAAAACGGTATCAGCTTTTGCGTTGTTTCCAGCGAATGCTATTCTGATTTGAACCCGATATTGTATGCAACTCTTGAAGAGGGTTATAATGAGTGGGTGGGAATGTGAGAATGACGTATCGATAGCTCACAAAGTTGAAAAATGAATACCTTTATTGCAACGTGTGAAAACCTTCGACCATGATTAATTCTCTTTCAAAATATCGACCGAAACATCTTACGCCTTAATTAATTTGAAGACAGGTTCAAGATCAAGAACAAAGGAATGACATGGAATTTACCTTGGCAATAAATTTAAAAAAAAAAAAAAAAAAAAAAAAAAAAAAAAAAAAAACCCGGAAGAAAAAAGTCTAAACGAAGAAAAAGTATATTTTACAGAAAAAAGTGTAGGAACCTACCTTAAATTGATCAAAATCTGTCAAAGTTATTAATTTTAGTTTTTCGTCGAGAAAAATCATTACAATTTCTTGCACGGATGGATCTATTCCCGAAGTTACTCTGTTGAATCTCACTCAGGATTTGTTCAAATCGTTCTTTCAGAATAGCGATGTTAAGGGTCTCTTTAAACTTCCCTTGATCATGATGAGCAATCGTTCTTACGCGCCGAGAACGAAGCGATAAGTGCCAGGAGTCAAAACGCCTTCACGTCCATGCGTATGCAACACACGCATTCATTGAAGCTCGAATAGTTGCATCCAGGCGTTATGTCAAAACAAGGGTTGGTGCTGTTCGATGATCTATACTGTGAATAAGGCCCCAAGGCTCAATGTTCTAATTCAACTCTTATTTTACTACTCAATATATTTTCCCTCGAATTCGATTTTTTACACGAGAAAATGTGCAGAGATAGTTAAGCTCCGAACTACTTGTAAATTAACGTTGAATTCGCCAGTATTATACGTAATAATAATGCGATTACTCACGCGCATGCTGGCTTCCTTTTTGAACATTCATGGTAGACGCGCGTGTCGCCCCCCCCCCCCCCCCCCCCCCCCCCC